CCCCAAAACCCCAAAACCCCAAAACCCCTTCTTTTGATTAAATTATTGAATTGTTTGTTAATTTTTAGCGGAAAATCTCAGGCTATACATCTTCTTCCTCAATTACTTCAAAGTTTCCAGGTTTAGGCCCTTGGAACTTTTTGAATTTGTGACCATCTGTCCGCTCGTTGAAGATTAGTTCAAAAGTTTCTGTAGGCTCTGGTATCAGATGCCGTTTAGATTTAGGCCAAATTTCAGGTTGAAAGAACGGATCCACAGCTACTTGTATAGCACTTTCGATAATATGCGGAATTAGATAGGATAGATATGTTGAAGAAAGTTCCAAGCATGGGTTAGTGTTCATTTCCAACAAGAATGGCTTCAATTTGTCATCCAAGATAAAATCAAGCCCAAAGATCTCAAACATGTGCTTCCTTTTCTTTGGGTTTAACCCTTTGTAAACACTTTCAACCCCTTTAAGAGTGATCTTTTTCAGCTTAGGGACTATATCTTTCTGAAAATCTCATTTTAAATGTGGATGATTCTTATCAAGATATTTTTGAAAGTTATAGTAAGATAGTTTATTTCCATTTTCATATTTTGAGTAATCGTCTCAGTGCTTCTGGATGGCATCATTAGTGAGATGAATGTACTTAGAGCGGTTCGTAATTGAAAATTCTCTTGATGCTGTTCTCATGTAACCATCTTTAGCCCAGTAAGCCTGAATGTTTCCGTTGTACGAAGTAATCAAGATAAATCATCGGATATCAAATTTCCGCTTATTGTACAGGAAAGGGTTGTCTAGATACTTCTGGATTATGTAGGATCTGGTACTTCCAGTTGAAGGGAAGCAGACTTTCTTCCCGATAATTCTTTTTATATCTTCAAAATCTGTACAGTACTGAATTCCACAACCTCGATTAGTGTTTTCGCCAGGTTTGATTATCCATGTATTGTGGTATTTACGCTTAGAGTCCTTAAGTTTGTCTTGAAGTGAATGATAATATTGTTCAAATTTAGAAAATTCTGCATCAAAGAGGCCTTCTTTAATATGGAATGTCACCGGTAAGTACTCAAAAACATCCTCTTCATTCCAGTCTCAAAGAGCTTTCATGTTGTAGAATAAAGCCTTTTTGTTGGACAAGTGGAAGTTTCCTTCTAAATGGTTGTAGATTGTATCCTCATGAAGACTTGAGGTTTCAATTTGGGTCAGCACGTTTGTAGGTCTTGGTCTACTTACATTTAGTTCCTGTTTAGAGTCTTCTTCATTGCAAGGGTTTGACTTCTTTTCAACAAAACATTCTGATTCTTCTTGATCAAAATCTGAACAGTTATCGTTGTGGGCTTTATCTGTCAGACATGTGGTTAAATCATCGCTATCAGGTTGAAGGTTGTCTTCTAACTGTAAGGTTTTTATAATAAAGTTTCTTCGCCATTGAGTCCATATAAAATTGAAACCTTGCCATTCTTCTCGTGAGCCCGCAACCCACCAAAATCGTTTCTTCAGGGCTTTCTGGACCAATTTTGAATTATTCCCGTGACCAACGAAGTACTTAAACTGCTGTTGGCAGTGCTTTTGTTTGGCATTGAGAGCTAGAGATGAGATTGAAGATTACTGTTGTTATTTAGTTATAGCAACTCCATTAGTTTCTCAGATGTGTTCTAAGTATTTTCGGTATGCTTTCTCCTTCCATTCTGCCTTGTCTTTACCCTCAGGAGGCTTCTGCTTCCAGATTGGAACTTGGATGGATTTATTTCTTCTGCTTAACTATTGGGGTCTTGCTTGAGTTGCTAATTTTTGAGCATCCTAGGACTCTATTGAAGACAGGTTGCTCTCCATGACTAAGGAAGCTCAATTTTGGCTGATACTTATAGCTTTTTGCCAAATTTCGTTTTAATTTGGATGACTCGTTTTGAACAATCTGAAATTTATTTGAAGAAGGGAAACTCTGGATCATTTCAAACCTTGGATCCTTCGGAAATTGAGATATCTATCCATTTTCATAAAGATCAGCTTTCATCATATCTCTGAGGCGTATAATACTGGAAGGTCTCTAAAGTTTTTATCAAATTATTTCCTGTAATTCTCCGCTCAATTAGTAGCATTAAGAAATAAGTCTTGTTAGCGATTGCCATTTTACTCAGAGGTGAAGGAGTGGTATTTATATCAGCCGATTTCTTCCGTCTGATTCATCCAGACAGGTCTAAAGAAGGTTTCTCATCTGTCCAAATGGGCAGGTCAGGATTTTTAGAGATTCTTTTGAACTCATGCCTTACATCCTCCTTTAGAAAGTTGATAAAATTTTGGGTTCCTTTTGTCTTCATGAATCTGATCATTTCTTCGACAAAGTTGAGGTCCTTGGGTATTTTGGGCTCAGCTTTATCAGATTCTGGGAAAAAATACTTCTTTAAAGCCTCTTCCTTTTTCTGAGCTTTGTCATCGAACTTGATGTTAAAGCACGGTTGGTAGAAGATGTTATTACTATTGTGGTTGCAGTTGGGATTCTTGTTAAGCATCTTTCGCCTAGAATACTTGTGTCCTGAGTTTGACGGAGACTTTCCTTGCCCATTTTCAAGACCTGTATATTATTAATTGCCTTACTTGTCAGATCAAAGATCTTTTTATGAAAATTACAGAATTTAGCTATTTTAGTAAACTGTTTTTCATCGGACAAGTCTGGCTTTGGAGGTAGAGCTACTCTCCTTGAGCTTGTTTCTAGCAAGTCTTTATTTGAAAGTCTGGATAGAATTTTGTTCTTTTGAGGCAAGGTTTATCTTCTTCATGGCAGATTTTGGACGATTTATGATAGAATGAGACTTTTGATCTCGCGGAGTTATTTTGTTAGGCGTCTTTTGCTTGTCCTGGTCAATGAATTTAGACAAGTTGTGGATTCTGTAGAGGTTTGTCTTGATCAAATCGCGTTGGCCTAAAGAGGAATTTTTGAGAGGAATTTTTCGCTTATCAACTTCGTTGACAACCCTTTTGCTTGAGCATTTGATGCCCCGTGAGTATGCATTTTGACATTTGCGATTAATGAGTTTGGTGTCTATAGACGGTGGCTTTCACAAACTAAGACTTTGTGTTTTGGAGAAGGACGGGCTTGGTTTAGTAGTGAACCTTGAGTCTTCTTCTCTGTTAGCTTCCAAACGCTGGAAGTTCTTCCAAGAGGAGAAGCTTTGGCTCTCTTTAAGTTATCTATCTCTTCTTGAAGCGTATTTTGGTGGTTTAAATGGTTGTTATTACTTTGATTGATCTCAAATTCTTCGGTAGAGGGAATGTTCCCAGTGATATTTTTGAAACCAAGGAACTTCTTTCTGGTTTTATTTGTTCTCTTATTGAGCTGACTACTACATCTCTTGTGAGTGACCCTCTTTGAAGAGCAAGTGTCTGGAGGCTGGTACTGAATTTGGTTAACAGCTTCGGCTGTTTGTTTATAAAAGTCTTTGTGTGGCCCATTTTTGGCATTTGTGATGCTAGTTCCCTTATTTATAAATTTTGGTTGCAGGTTTATGCTCTTTGGGTCTTACACTCTTGTCTTTGGTTTTATTATATTTACAAGTTGAAGGAATGGCTTCTTTTCGCTTGGGTTGGATTGTTTTGAGAATATTGCAAATTGACTTCATGGTTACTGCTTCTGAAGATGAAGAGGGCTCCTTGAATTTTGAAACTAAGTTCGAAAGAGATATATTCTTCTCTTTGGGATTCAGGTTTTCAAGATATTGTGCTCTCTCAATGGATTTATCAATAAGGACTAAAATAATTAATTTGAAATACCTTTGGAAGAGTCATGAGTTAAAGTAGGTAGAGCTACATTGTTCTGGCTTTTATTTTGATTCAAAGTTGCGTATTAGATGCTTTTCTGTGTTTCATACTCTGGCTTCTGACTTCCGTTCTTTGTATAAGTATTGATATCCTGAAATATTTGGACATTTTCTTAATTTCATTTTCTTAGTTTATATTCAATTTTTATTTCAAAAGAGGGGTTTTGGGGTTTTGGGGTTTTGGGGTTTTGGGGTTTTGGGG